ATTTCTTATCTGTGAAAATGTTATTATTGCTTCATTTTCGAACATCCATGAGAAACAAAACAATTTGATTGGACCTCAATTCTAATATCAGTCGAGACGAAGTTTTATTCGAAATGAAATGTCAAGAGCCATTGACTTACAATTATATGGACGTCGGGTCCGCGCTAAAAAGTGTCCGAACTTATAGGGCGTTAAAATCGTATACAGAGCGTCATTCACGCTCTAGTCTTCGTTTGTTCGACTGACAGCGAAGCAAGCAAAATTAGACAGTACTGCGATGACATTACAATTTAAATTCAACGTTTTAGCTTTTTCATATTCCTTTACATGTCACTACGTTTAAATAGGTTGACTTGGGACATTTTTTTCGTGATTTTTGCATTAGACCCGTCGTCCATTTATTTGTAAGTCAATGTCAAGAGCAAACAATTTTGACAATTTCACACGTTACTTGATATCGAACGATACGATGGTTGGGGCCGATTCTAGTTTGTCTATGAATTAAAAATAAAAACTACGGCTGTGTGACGTGCGTGAAAAAAGTTTTTATTTGCCGCCACTTCGCCAGTCGTAATATGCGGTTCCTGAATACATCACAGAGAGCTTATAAAGTATAGTGCTCTGTGGCTTATAATATGTGCGTAGATAAAGCAGTGTATGTAACTGAACACAATTAGGCATTAAAACACTCGTGAGATGTTTTTATGAAACTCGCCTGTGGGCTCGTTTCATAAACCCACACTCGTATTTTAATGCCTGTCCATTGCAGTTCCAATGCCACTCAGAGCTTTAAATCGCAAAGATCGTAGATCTTCAAAAGCGGACCGCAGAATTGCCACATTACTGTTTGGCGGCAAAAATACGTGGCAATACTTCTTGGACAAATTCTTTCACAAGGAGCTCTAGTACTATTAAATTATACTACAAGTAATTACATTCAATACATGTGTCACAAGTGAGCTTATAATGTCCCGACTTCTTACTACTTTTAAGTAAAAGTCCGCAGATCAAGACAATAAATTGTACGTCGACATAATTTTTTTTTATAATGTAAAGTAGGAGCTGTTGTTGATAATGGGTTCTGGTATTACCATTATTGGAATTCTCTACGCGAGAAAATATCTTATATAGGGCTTTAGATACTATAGACTGTACAATATTGAAATAATAATAATACGTATCTACGGCAAAAGATATTCATTCACCGCTGAAGAGAGGCCCGTACAGTGACAATATGTTTAAAGATGGCGTACATGTAAATGCTATCAGCTTTTCTATTGAGAGTACTACAGAAATAGCGTGTATTATTATGAGGGTGCGTTCCCATGACCCGTGATATCAAACTTGCCGATTTGTACGAGCGAGCTCGCGACACCGGGCGGCCTCGGGCCGACATGCGTGGCAAGCATTGGCCGCGCCTTTGAAGTTACCGACCAGAGACGGATCCGAACAGGCAGCCACGGGTGACCCGTGCGTACTCGGGCGGGCGGCTTTCTTCCCACGCGACACGTTTATGCGAAACGCACGGCACGGACCGCGAAATTGGCCACGAGCCGTGGGAAGCCGTCTTAAAGCGTACACATCATCGCATCGATAACGCGAATTATTTGAGAAAAGTAAAGATGAAATACTATGTAGACAAGAGAAGCATCTCGACGTAATAAATTGTAATGTTGAAGACTGTAAGCCTTACATGGCTCGTTGCTTTCAAATAACCAATACAAATAGAAGTAAATTAATTTGATTTAACTTTCACTGGATTCGCGAACCAACTGAAATACAGACTGAGTGTACAGACCTTAGAAATTTCTTTGAGTTTTTTACAGATCTTTGTATTGTTTAAATGGCTATTTTAGCCGCCAACACACCTGTGAGAAACTATGAAGTTACTCATGTATCAAATACACGAAACTCATGGTAGTAACACGTCATGATAAATAAATATTAAAGTATGTAGTGAGAAATGAAGCGTACGTATTACGGGTGACAGAAGAAAACAAACTTTTTTCTGTATAGCACAAGTTTATTGCTTGATACAGTCGGTACAACAAGTATTACAATAGAACAGTATAACGTACAGTAGTAAACTACTCCCCCTAGACAACACGTAACGGAAGTCTCATACACCTTACCAAATAGGAAGCGACTCTGGATGCAACTAGGGATGATTCGATACAAGTAAATACGAGTAAGTACTCGATACTTTTGTTTCGATACCGAGTACTTTGAGTATCGAATCCCTTATTTCGATGTTTACTGGGTATCGGAAGAAAAATACTGGTCTCGAATCGAAACACGCACGCGTATATATTTAGCCTAAATCCCACTTCACAGGAAAAGATCATCTTTTTTCCAAATTATTTTACTTTCCATTTTCACCGTTTTACAGATAACAAACGCATAGACGAAGTACCAGAGTAATAAAAATGTAAGTCTATCTATGGTCCCTTTGGATCATTTTTGGTTGAATGGTACTACATACATCTCAGCGAATGAGCGAAGCGAAGAGAAGTGGCGGGTTCTTATGTAGTTTTGTGGGCTTTTGTATTTCAGTTTTCATATAAATTAATATTTAGTTTAGTTATTATTACAAGAAATTCGCAGTAATAAACGATTATCAAAATTTCGATTGATTAGCGGAAATATCGATTTAGCTATAATACTTAAAAAAAAGGAAAAGAACGTTTATTTATTTATTGTGCAGTGCGTGCTTGTTAAAAGTTTACTACTTTTTTATTATTATGGTACCGCCAAAATCTAAAGTATCGACATATTTTATATCTCCCAAAAAAGTGCCGATATGATTAAGCATCGATACTTTTGAACAACATCTTATGATTAGTATCGCATTGGTGGTATCGGAACATCCCTAGATGCAACTGCTGGTGTACTAATTAATAACCTTGAGTAACTAGCGATAGGTACTAACTATGTACAATCTAAAGCGCTGTTCCACATAAAGAAGCAGTACTAAATGCGTATGAGGTATCTAGTGGGCTCTTTACATTATGTTCAAATCGTCGAAAGTAGTCATTCCGTGAGGGAAAATCTTAACATCGCGATACATTTTTTTTCTATTATACTATACAGAATTTGCTACTTCGACGCCAGTGCCATCTAGCGGTGCGTGACGGAACTAATCTGTGGCGTTGCATGTTATGTGATTTTGTTACAAGTGTATTTAAAAAATAATAATTGTGCAAACTATTTGTATAACACCAGCTATATTAATTAGCTGCAAAAGCGAATACATCTTAGCCAAGAGTTTAGTTTTAGTTTAGTTTAGTTTTACTTTACCTTAGTAAGTTCACCTTTGCAATTTACTTTATATAGTTCAAACCTCGTCCACCTAACCGCCAACCTATCTAGCTTAATAAACGAGTAGGTAATCACTATGGCTGTAAAACATATTCAAATCTTGTATACATTTTTCACATACTGCTTTGATTTTGTTAGAAACACTTTGATTTCAAGTCAACTTGTCAATCAATCACATTATATTTAATTTAAAAAAGGCTTGCCAACGGTGCCTGATATAAAAAGATGTCCTACAAATATTTGAAAGGGATTTTGGACAACAAAGATACAAACAATTAGGAGTTGGGTAGTTCCACCACTGGGAAATGAATAATAAACATACACAGTTAATCACAGAACAAAGTAATGGTTATCACTAATTACAGGTTTCTTACCACGATGTGAGTAATTTTTTTTTTCCAATATTTCAGAACGGTTACACGCTCCGGAGAAAAATTTGCCGTATAGAAGTGAATAGCGTGTAGAATATAACCGTTCCGAAATATCGTGAAAATAAAAATAAGTCATTTATTTATCGAGTCCTTAGGTTTTAGTGATTGTTACACATAAGAAATGAAATTGTTTTTCCGGATTTAAACCGTGTATATTTGTTTTTTCAAACAAACCGACGTTAACCGTGACCATGGGACCTGTAAAGGGCCCGAAACGTCGGTTTGTTGTGAAAAACAGTTTCATTTCCTAAGTCATTTATTGTTAAGAAACCTGTAATTACTGATAATCATTTAGTGTATAACCACGAAAACCTTAAAATCTACTTTACAAATTAATTTTTTAACCGACTTCAAAAAAGGAGGAGGTTCTCAATTCGACTGTATGTTTTTTTTGTATGTATGTTACGCGATAACTCCGGTATTTGTGAACCGATTTCCATGATTCTTTTTTTTGTTGGAAAGGGGGTACTTCCGTAGTGGTCCCATTTAATTTTGAAGAAAATCATCCACCTCTAAGGGTGGCTGTTCACGCATCAAGATTCATTTTTATGAATAGCGCCTAAATATTACTTAGGAGCAATTACTTTAATGGTTGATTTTACTATTTTTCCAATTCAAGGCGTTTTTCTCTCCATATAATTTGAGTAGAGTGAACCGATTTTTATTATCTCCAGTGTCAAGTCCTATATAATGGCGAATTTAAGGATATTTCAATAAAACTTAGCAAATAGACGTAATTCCACGTACTTTTGAGGTCGGTTTGTTTAATACTCTGTACTGAGATTATTTCAACTGAGAATATTGGCTCACGGTCCATATATTTTAAAAAAACAATTCCCAGAGCCTTTGATAGTGAAAAGTTTAAACATAAACATAAAGGCTTATGGTGCATTTTGATAGTAATTTTTTTTTTATTACAAATTAATTTTCTAGTTAGTTTTATTTTATTTTATTTTGTTTAGTAAGTTCGTGCGAATAAAATACATGCGTTTGAGTACCTCCGTTTGTATGGAAAACGCGCGCCGTCGAACACACTGACAATGCTTCTCCGAGCCGACAGGCGCGGCGTACCGCAGGGTATGGCACACTACGCTCCGCACTACCGCGCAGATTTTTAATCAATTTGTGTCTATTCCAGTAATTGTCGTTCGAATTTTCCCTAACAAATAATCAAACGATTCAGTTGACACACGTCTGTAGTTGGAAAATTAATCTTCATATTTTCTTAAATCTTTGTAATGAAGTTGAATGTTATCTTCGGTGTCTTTTTATTTGAGTAAACAAAAACCAAATCGACAGTATAACTGGAGCGTCCTGAATGAGTTCTGTATTATTAACCATTCATGGCAAAGAAGGATCTCAGCTACATGTACAATCTACGGCGATCAACTACGAAGCGTGTACTTTAAATGGCGCAGGGCCGCTAGACCGCTGCCTCCGCGCAGATTAAATTGCAAGTTGATGCAAATCTGCGTCTCACGCGCCGTCGCGGGGCGCGGTGCAGTGTGTTAATCGCCTAATATGGTTACAATTTTAAAACACTTAAACCGTATATACAACCATTTATATATTAATAAGTAGTCGGATATAAAAATCCTTCACAGATTTGGAACACATTACATAAATAATAAGTAGAAGGTATTTTTCGCCTCTGAATAAGAAACAATAATTATAAATTTATTGAAGGTGTAACGCGGCTTTAAAAGTAATAAATCATACAATTATTCAGTTTCGTTCCTGGACTCACAATCCATTTCCTTAGTTTCGAATTTTGAATCACCCGGGGCTTTGAAAACCAAACCCGTACATTGCATAGAAGCTGTTTCAGTCTCATCAGACACTTGGGTCTTAAATGAAATTTTGTAATGAAAATCTTTCCCGTCGACAACCTGTTGTTCAGCTTTGATTAATTCATATCCTACACTCTTAAAATCAGGTGTAATATTTTGGTAAAATTTAAAGGCTTCTTCAGAAGCCTTGATGACGTCAGGATCTGTAATTGATACATCTTGATATGCGCCGTGTTGCGTCTGAAAGAAGATATTGTTATTTTTATTTTGTATTTTTGTCTCAATGTCCTTAGTCCAAAACTCAATAGTCACTGTGTCGCTCCTACAGGAGAGGTGGCAACTATAAAAAGGAGTACCTTTTCCAAAGCTCCTGCATATTATATTCAGTAGCAATAGACCTCTTTGTGAACGAGTTTTTTTCTTTACCTACTTCTGAAATTATAGGCACATGGGACTTGTCAACATACGACTCAGGGTGAGAGGCGCAGTGACAGTTTCCCTCAGATCTTTCCGATTCAAAGCTCTGGGTGGCACTGTAACTGCTATGGACAGGTGTATCTTTTAATACCTGGCGGGCAACTTGTTCATCCCATCACTTGACACACATAAACAGAACTATTTTGTTTTGTGGAAATTCCAATAAAACTTATTTCCCTGAACATTAATTTTTGGAGAAATACTTACATTAACGACTGTTATAGAACATACGACAACTATTAACAGAACACGAATTACTTCTATACGTCTCATGATCACTCTCTGGATGCTGTTTAATGATTGCATTAACAAAATCTTGAGTTTTATTATAATATTAATTATATGACGATGTAGAAATAATTAATTGCTCTTTTATTAACTTGCAATTTGTAAAAACTTACTGAAATGCCTATTCAAAAATTAATTTACATTTTTATTAGTAATAGTCATTTGTGTAATTATCGTTTATATCAAAGAGAAATGTTAAACATGTTTTATACACCTTTTCAAATTAAGTTTAAGTAATTATTAATAATTTAACTCGTATACTCAATACTCAATACTCAATATATTTATTGCATTCATATGGTAAACATGTCTTAAAGTTAAAATAATGCTACACATATGAGCCCTTTATTAGGGATAACAATAACAGCAGAAGTAGGCCGAGGTTTCAATTATTAATTAAAATTGTTATTTATCAAATAATAATATAAAAAAAAATGTCATATAATAATAAAGAAATACGTCATATTATGAGTAGAATTATGTCACTTGAAAGTTTGAATTTAATTAGATTACAGTAGCATAACTTTATAGTATATAATTAACATTTATTTATTATTCAAATTTATTATAATATTATTATTTTTATTTGTCATCAAAGTATTCATTTAAATTGTAATAGCATTTATTAATAAGATGTAATTATAATTTATTTAGAAACAGTGAATACTTTTTCTCGTTTTTAATAATGGGCGGGAGCTCATTGAATATCCTCACCGACACCCAACGTGGCGATACGACAGCGAATTCGTAGACGTCGGTATGCGGATCGCGAGCCTAAAATGGCCAGGACACGTTGGTAGGCGGGACGACAACCGATGAACCAAGGTGGTTTCTAAGTGGTACCCGGTAGGAGCGATACGTCCTTGAGGCAGACCACCTGTTTGAATTTTCATTACACCGAAAACCGAATTATAACGAAACCGTTGTTCTTTCAGGATATGTTAGATGTTTATCACATATACACGATTAGGTTCGGTTAGGTTAGGTTTAAAAGAAAAAACATTTTACTCCTCAAAATTATTTTCGAGGTTATGAAAATTCACCGGTAACCGGTCGGACGGTATCATCGGGGTGGTGGAAGATTGTGGACGAAACTCGCACAGGACCGACTGAGCTGGCGTGCAAAAGAGAAGGTCTATACCCAGCTGTGGGTGTTAACAGGCTGAGATGATGATGATGATGAATTATTAATACAAAGATCGAAAACTTAGAAAAATTTCTCCGATCCGGCTGGGTTCAAACAAAGGTCTTTTAGCAAACCATGCTAGATGCTTTGCCATCTAAACCACGGAACGAACCAGCAGAACGAACGAACCTTACGAATTTTTTTATTGTATTGTCTGTTATAAACCAAAGCAAAGACCTGCCATAAATATAATAGAAAAAATTTTAGAATACTTAACAATTTATTCGTAAATATTGTAAGTCAATGTCGTAAATGGATAAAAAATGTAGTATAAGCATTGACTTACAAATAAATGGACGACGGGTCTAATACAAAAACCACGAAAAAAATGTCCCAAGTCAACCTATTCGAAATTTAAATTGTTATGTCATCGCAGTATCGCGCTGTCCGTAGAACAAATGAAGACTAAAGCGGAGTGTCGCGCTCTGTATACGATTTTAGCGCCTTACAAGTGCGGACACTTTTTAGCACGGACCCGACGTCCATATAATTGTAAGTCAATGACTATAAGTCTAAAATAACGGCGAATTCAAAAAACGAACACAGAAATGTCACATTGCATGCTAGCTACATGACCACACTACTTCCTTACCAAATTTCAATACATTTAGTGGAATCGATTTCAAAATAAAATGATTTTGGTGACTAGAGCAGAAAATTTTCAAAAAAGTACATGAAAAATCATAACTTCTAAACTATTGATTTTCGCGGAACTGACGTTTATTTTAAATGAGTCATTACGATGGCCTCTATTTGAATAAATTTTTGGGTCACTGAAAATGGGCCATCCTGTATTTACAGGTGGCTTTTTAATTATCAACGCCATAAAACTATCCAAAAAAAGTTTACATGCAAGCGCTAGCCGTCTAGCATCCCCCGCTCTGGGCCCGCCCCGCTCACCGCTCAGCAGTCACCCATGCAAACATAGCGTGCTTATGTTGCTCTGTTAAGCCGGAAAGTAATCTTTATTAACTGCCTACGTGGCCGAACGGCTACCATGCCACTGCCACGCAATGGTCCCAGGTTCGATTCCCGGGCCGGGAGAAATATTTGTATGGCCTGCATTTATTTCTCTAGTGATTTTGCGTGACTTTTGTGGTTGTTCATGTGTCCATGGCACCCGCGACAACGGCTTTCCCTAGTGCGGGGCTATGTTATGCTGTGCCTTGGACACACATATAGACAACCACAAATTACACCCAAACTCACGAGAGAAATAAACGTAGGCCATACAAATATTTCTCGCAGCCCGGGAATCGAACTTGGGATCTCTGCGTGCCGGTAACGGTAACGGTATATGGTAACCGTTCGGCCACATAATAATAATAATAATAATAATTTTATTAGTTTCCAAAAACAATGTTATACAGAATATTATACAATCTTGTACATCTTATCAAAAAAAATGGCTACAAAAATATACATAATATAATTTTATGTTGGCATCTGCAGCTAAGTAGGGTTTAACCTGTATCTCGGCATACAGCGCCTCCACCCAAGGATAATATAATCTTAGCCGATTAGAGTTGGTGATCTATACAGTTGATAAATTATACAAAGTTTACAAAAAAGAAGAAATAATGCTTAGATTAAACACAATTGGATTTAAAAATGTATACAATACAAAAATAAGAAAGATACTAGTGTTGTGCAATAGTGGGAAATGTGTGTGTGTGTTGTGAGTGTGTGTGTGTGTTGTGAGTGTGTGTGTGTGTGCGAGCGTGTGTAGGTATGTTAATGTGAACGAACATAATGTGTATTTAAACGGAGGAGGCATAAGAGGACTAATTAATTAAATTTATTTCGAGTTGTTAAAAGTTCGGCCACAGAGGCAGTTAAATGTTGGATGTCACTTTAAACGGTAGGGATCGTTCGGAGACGCTTGCACGTTCAAAATTAATTTACCACCTTACTGCCAAATGCAGTTCTAAACAGTGTCAGATAGTTTGTACAACAAAAACTTAAAAATTTATTTTTGGTAAATTTATTACGTCTTGTAAAAAGTCATGGAACAAAAATTGTTGTCAATAATAGTCCTGTGAGGTTATGTTATTTTACGTACAAATAACCCAGTATATGCGTTGATAAAATATCTACAGGAAGAAATCGCGTCTTTCTACGCCTTTTTTCCATTGTCGTTTAACTATATATATATATATATATATATATATATATATATGGAGTGTATTTACTTGCACCTTAAATAAATCAATAAAATACAAAATTAGAGTCACTGCTTTCATTTTAAACATTGTAATTTTAAAGTTACTTGACTATATTTGCTAATTTTTATCATAAAGTTAAAACAAAAAGTATAGTTTTAATAATAAGTTTGAATAAATTTTAGTAAATTATTTTTTAACTATTTTAACGTTTTAGTTTTTCAACAGCCAATATTGTCAATAGAGTCACACGAGTTAGAGTGGATATGTGTTACTTCGTTATCTATCCAATCGATTAAAATAATATTTGTCGTGATTCGATTTGAGATACCTTCATGGCAAGTTCGAATATTGAAATATTGACATTCATATGCATTATGTGTTTTTCCTGTTCCTTGTACATTAATTAATAAACCATGCATTGCAAATGAACACTAAAATACTTCAAAGTTTTAATAAGCTTGTTGGTAAGTAATTTAAACACGCTTTGAAATAACTTAGTAACCATTTATTACTTAAATTGTTAGTTATGTCAATCAAGACTCAGAGTCGTATTCCAGAACTGTACTCAATGCTCAAGTCAGGATTAGAGCAGACTTGAGTATGATTTCAAGCACTGGAAATACGACCCTAATGGCAAGGACTTGAGTGTGATTTCTAGTGCTTTGAATCATACTCAAGTCCTGACTTGAGCATTGAGTAGAGCTCTAGAATACGACCCTTAGTGGCGTTATTAAATTATACGAAGCGAAATACCGAAGTTAAGCAGTCTTTCTCATTATTCTTATTTTCCTTCATAAATGATACAAATTTTTTGACATTAATGTTAAAGTTGGTGTAGGTGTTTTGTTTTCGGTGTGATCGATCTTTTAGGCCACTAATTCGCAACTTTTGTGGTCTTAGAGATCTTCTTGGGTAAGCCTTTGAAGAGAGGCCGTCGAGAGAGCACATTTGCGCGCGCAAAATTGTCTAATTAAATATTTTCCAAACACCCAGTAACCACGTAACCTTCGACCTCAATTATTTCAAAGTCACAGATTCAAAATTCGACAAGTCAGAAATTCAAAATTTGGACTTCGCCACGAACTTTGGAGTTGTCTTGTTTATGCTACTTTCAAAGTTTATGCATATCAGTTGAGGAACATGTTTTCGTTGGTGGTCCAATGTAAAACTTTATACTAAAGGTTTTTTTTTTAAATACCAAGTGACGGGACGAACAAGTTGTGCGCCTGGTGGTAAGCGACACGCCTATCCATGACAGTTGCAGTGCCACTCAGAGCTTTAAATCGCAAAGATCTAAGGGGCTCTGCCACTGCGCCCGTCACCCTGAGACAATAAATCGACAAGTCCCATGTGCTTGTAATTTCACCAGCACCCTTACCCTTCCGAATCGGAACGCAGTAATGCTCACATTACTGATTGGAGGCAGAAATAGGTAAAGTGGCAGTACTTCCCTGGACGAATTCTTTCACAGGGAACGCTACTATTTTAAAATTTTTATTATACAGCTACTTGGATGATAAAAATCCGTGGTAGTCACTCGTTTAACTCTTGCAGGCTGTCACGAGCTATGATGTTACAAATGTTTATTTGCAACAACCCCTAAACTTTTCAGCTCATTCTCCTCAGAGGGATCTGCCATTCATAAGGCAGAAAGCAAAAGAGTTTTATCAATATGGCGATTACAAATGTAATTTGCTGACAATATTTCTTTTTATATGTAGCACCAGAAAAAAGCCTGTATCGCGGATGCCATGGACCACACATAGACAACCACAAATTACACCCAAACTTATAAAAGAAATAAATGTATATATGTATAGAAATAAATGTATATGCATAAACATATTACTCCCGGCCTGGGAAACGAACCCAGGACCTCTGCGTGGCAGTCCAGAATGGTAACCGTTCGATGACAGAGACAGTTAAATATAAAATAGAGATTACTGGACTTTGACTTTGACATAGATTGGCAAAAACTGCTATCAAAAATCTAGGCTTTCTTTTCAAGGTTCAGGTTTCAGGCAGTACTTCACAACGGAACAGTATCTAGATCTGTACCAATCATAACTTCGTACGTGTATTGACGGATCTGCCCAGTACCAGTTAGCTGCCTTAGACTTGGTGGAGGGAAGTTCAATTCGGCATCGAATATTAAAAAAACTTTAAACATAAACATTATTCAATGATATGTAGGCACACAGGACACATATTTAATTTCGAAAGTCCATTCTTTGTGGACCAAGGCCGCACATATTGCCGATAATGCATTGCTCACATCAGCAATCTCGGTCCTAAATAGAAGGTTATAATTATATCCCTTGGACTTTAATCTTGCTGGTGTTATTGCATGTAGCGTAGAACCTCTAGAAAAAGCGAAAGCTTCTTGTATAGCCTTCACAGCATCAGGATCTGTCACAAGTATATCTGTTAACGGGCCGAACCCTTGCGTCTGAAACAGGATTAATTATTGTTTTTATGCTCTATTTTTCATCTCGATACCATCGATAACTCAGTTTAAGTAGCAGTAGAGCTCATTGTGAAAGAGTTCGTCCAGGGAAGTACTGCCACCTTACCTATTTCTGCCGCCAAGCAGTAATGTCAGCTTTACTGTGTTCCGGTTTTGAAGGGTAAGGGTGCTGGTGAAATTACAGGCCCATGGGACTTGTTAACTTATGTCCCAGGGTGACAGGCGCAGTGTTCGTCCTGTCACTTAATATTATAAAAAAAAAGTTACGGCATCATCAAAAAAAGACGATCTTATATATTAGCCCCCTAAGTGGGCTGTATTACACACATTAAAAATGCTCCATATAATTGTTTAAAATGCTGAGGTCATTCATAGTGGATGACCTCATTTTCACTTGCATGAAGTGCGACCAAATTTTTAGTATTGTTTTATCTTTCGACTCAGTTACGCGATGGATTCTGACGAAGAAACATTACTTTTACCTAGTTCTTGGGGTACACACTTCACATATATATAGTTTCATTTTCTAAATTGTTAATAAATGTTAGTCATACATTTACCCATGCCTTTTTTTTATCCAGTTGACTGGAATAACTGGCGGAACTGCTAGCCCATATTGCAGGGTGTTGATTTACATTCTCTATAAATTCTTCAATTCAATTTTCATCTATCGTGGTTAACTTGGAAAATTAACATATACACCTCGGTAATCGTGACTGCAACCGAGCGTGACTGTCGCGCGGCTGCCTCGCGGTTGCAGCGGTTCTAGAAATTGTATGAAAAGTGCAATTCGCGCGGCCGACGGGCGGCTGCAGCGCTGCTGCAACGCGTCTAACAGTAAACCGGCCAGTGCTTTACAAAGGCATTAGATGTCTGTTATTGTTACTATCCTATACAATGTATGTGGTGTATATTGTTACTACCATAAGTACCTAACTACCTACTAACAGATATGGATTCTTTGTTATCTGAATAAATAAAATTTGAATTTGAATTAATTTGTCGCTTTTATCACGTATGTAGGTACATGCAGAATATGTGCAAGAATTAATTATTTGTATCTGTTCTAGTCTCGTCGCATGAAATAAAAGTCTAAACCATGTATAGAAGAATATCGTGTGATGGAAATTTTAAAAAGAACTTATTTCTGTAGACGTTCAAATATAAAATTGTTTTATCATTTGTCTTGAGAGAAACTGCGAATAAATACTTACGGAAATCGGTGACAAATAATTTAGGAGGACTATTACGGGGCTACTTTTAAGCGTATAGGACTCTTTAAATTATGCAAAAGAGTTATCAGGAAAAGTGGTAAAAACTATATTGTAAATATTCATTCGCTTAATTAAAAATAATCGTTGTAGTTGGGAGATTACGTACAGTTTTACTTAATAGCAATTTGCATCGCTTGTAAAAACATGTTCAATTAATAACAAGTAATCAATAAAGTACTAGGAAAAACTATGTATATTAATTTCTGGCCTCAAACTTGTTTGGTTAATATGTCAAAATTATATCTAACGATCATAAGGGCGCATTTAGTGCCCAGTTACACAACGCGAAAGTTTTCGCCCAGTTACCACGCTTTCTATTTCTGTTTTATTATATTTACAGAATTGGATACAATTGATCGGAACGTGGGACAATTTTACGAAAATAAGAATTATTGCTACAGTATTGCAAGGAATTCTGCAAATGAATTGCTTTTCACTGAATTATACGATTTAGCATTTTAGGCCCCCTGAATAACGATGATTCGAAAAATAATCTAAACAATCACAAACTCTTAAAATATTGAATCGATTTCTCGTGAAAATCGTATAATGTGATTACCGATATGATTAGTCCACATCCCTATTCGCGTCACGATGACAAATGTCAAATTTGGCCTCTTATTCGGTGACAACTATAGCAGCGGAGACCACGTGGTCGCCGCGCAGTGACCACGTGCACGTATTCAGAGACCGAACTGTTGCGGCAAAATACGCTCCATTTGTTTAGCTTTTACGTTTTAACTTAAACGTGCAAACCGGGCGCGCGGGCGAGGCCGGCTTGTCTTTGGCCTACGCGGCGGCCGCCCGTGCAGCAAGGAATTTAAATATTGTTTCCTAGTAAATAGAATTCAAATTCTATTTACTAGGAAACAATTATGCAGTAATGTACGTGAAAGCGTGGCAACTTGGCGGTCACCGCGCGGCGCCAGCAGCACGGGAACTTTCGCGTCGTGTAACTGGGCGCTAAGAGTTTCACTTGTAGCATATTTGCATGCTTATTATAATGAATAACTTAATAATCACCAATTACTGGCATTACTAAATTATATGAAGCGGAATACCAATTCATTACCATGTCCAGTGCGACGAGGATGGCTTCACAAAGGTGGTGAAGAAGAAGCCCACCAGCCGTAACCAGTGTGGCACAGCTCCGACAGGACCGAACTTCCTGCTGCGTCCGGCCGTACCGACGACTATGATGTACCTGTCGCGGCTGCATTACTGCACGAAGTCTGAGGAGATAGTGGAGTATATCAGGCATAAAACCAAATACACCCT